TACCACTGTGCTTTCTTCAACTTGCAAAGCAGACAGTTTAATAAATTATTCCTTAAGGAAACCTATAATTTCCATTCCACATCGTTCATCACGGTAAAAATTGTTAGTGAATTCAGTTTCTGGTACCCGAAACAGAGTAAAGAACTAAAACAGAAAGACTGTATAATGTTACGTTCCAAATTTAAAGTAGAAAGTCCCACCTCTATTTTATCAAAATTCAAATAAGTCAAAACGTGTAATTTGTTTACGAAATACAATAGTTTTTTTTAAGATTACTTGCTGTTAGTTTTTATTTTAATATTTACAAATACTTTACAGTTTTTTTTAAAGAATATTTTGCGGTTTATTTTATAAGTTAAATATTTACACATACCTATTTTGTTTTTGTAAACTGCGTCTAGAGGGGGGGGGGTTATATATTTGAGATATATTTTTTTATATTATTTCCTGCACACGCACTTGAGCTCACGTGGTGTCCTATTTGCGTTAATTATTTTTTTTTGGTCGGTATTGAACCGCACACCCCTTAGCGTCCGGTACTTTTGATACGTCTTACTTTTCATTTTGTTCTGTTAAATAGAAATAACTTATGAATTTTTGTTAGGCAAGTAGAAGCCGCATTTTTATATTATTTTTTTACGTATATGGTAAAGTTAAATAATATTGTAATATGTGTTTATTTTCAACTATCTTGGGAATCTATTTATTAAAATTGACTAAATTATAATATGACAATTTTATTTATTTTTTTATGTATTCAAGTTGTATATTGTTACTTAGTATTTTAGTAGTAGACCTATTGGTAAGTTGGTGGTTTATTGCATAGTAACGTAGGGAAGGCTGTGGGCCAATTTACCTGGCGCCCCTGATATAACTTCGATTTTTTTTTGTTTTGTGCACCGCACAACCATCTCCACTGTTTTGTCTAGCCGCGAGCCATTCCCAGACTGTCACCATATAGTACTTTTCTTTTCGGGTGTACGTCTGATTTATATTTGGTACATTTTGTAACTTTTTTTTATAGATTCGGTTTTGTACGCCACATATTTTGGCGCCCAACGTGGACTTTAGCGAAATTGTGGATTTTCCAAAAAGAAACCCTTACACGAAGGCAGCAAATCCCCTTGAATATCCACACGGTTCGGACTAGTCCAGATCCCACATGGAATAGCAGCAAAAACCAAAATACCGTTTTTTAATCTAGCCCAACCTATCAGTAACACCGTCAGACCAAGAATCAGTCCCTTTCCGTCGTCTTTCCGAGCACTTGACAACTTGACACACGGAGGTCACCAAATAATACCGAGATTCAAACATTTCAATTTTATGATCCCAATTCTTCCAAGATGGCTCTAGATAGAACGATCTAAATAAGTTTCTTAAAAAAAAGGACGTTTTCCCTTAAGTTCAGCACAATTTGCCAGACATTACCCCTATTTGAAAATTAATAATTTAGTTTCGCCAACTTGCTTATAATATACTATAGGCAACCGCTCTTACACGTCTTGACTTATTTGAATTTTGATAAAATAGAGGTGGGACTTTCTACTTTAAATTTGGAACGTAACAATAAGATTTAATTTCGATTTCAGGGCAATTGCAAGGCGCTTATACTTATTTTATCCTCTTTTAGTCTCATCAGAACGACAGCTGCAGTTGCTTTGAATCGAAACAAAATCTCTTCCGTCATGGGACAGTAATTATAAAAATAATTATTAACAGACGTTACAAGGCCATCTAATAACAACACTAGGAATTTTAAGATTTCCTACATGGCTAAACTAAATTCAAATCTTTACCACTGTGCTTTTTAAAACTTGCAAAGCAGACAAATTGATGAATTAGTCGGCAAGGGAATCTATAATTTGCATTCCACATGCCATTCATCATGGTAAAAATTCTTAATGAACTAAGTTTCTGGTACTCGAAACAGAGTAAAGAACTAAAACTGAAAGACGGTATAAGATTTAATTTCGATTGCAGGGAATTTGCAAGCCGCTTATACATATTTCAACATCTTTAGTTCTCATATATATGAGAATAAAATAAATAGGCCATATAAACACATCAAAATAATCTAGGGGACTACAGACTAAACAGATATAAAATAGTTTTCAAAAACCGTGGAGGTCATATTATGCTATGCTGACTTAACCTAAAGACTACATCGTTGGGAGTTAGGGGGCAACAAATTATATCTTTATTTTTTTTTTGTTACCATTTTTTACTTATGGAGTTCTCATTTAATTTTCTTAAGAGCTGTTGCAATAATTCTAAGAAAAAATTAATGTTTATTTTATATTTAGGACACTTGCTTATAACTTTTTATTTAAAGTATTTAAAACAAATTATTTGATATCCGTCTGTAATCTAGCATTTTGTTTTTGTCCCCTAGATTATTTTGATGTGTGTAGAATAAGAAGTAGGTATTTCAGTCTCAAAAATTAAAACTTTAATTTTGTTGACTCCTCAGTGATTTGCTTGTTTATTGTAGCGCCATCTAGCGCTTGACCTATAATTCTATAAATATTTTCCAGATTTTTCTCCAGATTCCTTTGGCTTAAAAATCTTTATTATAACATTTTTAATATTTTTAAAACACTTTGAACATATATCCCGAATTATGATCGAGAGCCGTTTATCTATTTTATTATCAATTGTACACCAACAGTATTTTTGTAATTTTTGTAAATAAAATAAACATAAGGTTTTTTTGAAATAAATACATTTTTATTTATTTAAATCACAATCTGAACGCACTGAATATATTTTCGAAAAAATGTAACTTTTTTATTGATGATTATTTTGTTCATAAATATTTTATTCGTAAGGAATCTACTCTCACGGTTTCTAGTTCAGATAACCGTTAAGAGGTGGCTTAAGATACGTTACTATTTAGATGAAATATATATTTCTACTACAACAAACACTATTGTTCAACTTTACCTAGCTCAGGCAAATTTTACTTTTATTTAGTTTACCCATCATGTTTAAAACATAATGTCAAAGAATAGTTTACGTAATTACGGTTAAACATATAGGTACTAAATAAATAAATATCGTATTCGTCAAAATAAACTAGGTATCGAGTACCTACCTATAATGAAAATTATTTGTTAATTTTTGAAATACATTGCCAACCCAAATAGTTACCAAGATCAGTGTAGATTTAATTTTGAGTCATTAAAACCCACGAAATAAATTTTTACTTTACTTTTTTTAATAAATTAAGACAAATGAGTCTGAAGGTCTCGTGATTTAGTAAAGTATTTTAGTCAAGTGAATCAACTATTTACAAAAGGTGAGTAAATTGTATTAGATTGGACGTTTTAATAAAACAATTTATCTAGTTAAGAACTAAAAAAGAATACATCGCAATAATTGGGAGGAATACCCTACACAGAGACACGAATGAAAACGGCAAATATCTTATTGACTTTGCAGCTAGTTAAAACATAATCATCAGTTATACCATATTTCCCTACAGAAATATACACAAAAGCACCTGAAAATCCCCTGAAGGAGATGTGAACCAAATAGACAAGTGGATGAAGTAGGTGCTGCGGCTCAGAGAACCTACTACAATGTAACCTACTACTTATAGTTCAAATAAACTTCAGATGTAGGATCAAAGAAAATCAACCAAGAAAGGAAATTTTAGATCTTGCAAAATTGAAAAGACCCAAAATTCAAAAGAAATTTGAAGAAAAAATAAACAGGAAGCAGACTGAATATGAAGAAAATAAATAGAGATCATTAGAAGACCAATGGAGTCCACAATGAACCCGATGAGACCAATGGAGACTAATAAGTAGAACCACATTAACTTCAGCAAAATATATTTAGAAGTTAACATCACAAAGAACTACATTGATGCTGCAGAGTTTAGCAGAAAAATCATCCTAGCGAAAAGACCATAATCCGATCGATAGTGAGCTAAAGATGTGAAACTTAGGTATCGATTCACAAATCTGTAAACCGCATAGACGTATTTAAAAAAAGGTACTGAGACAAATATAAACCCTATAAATAAGAACGATAGACTGTAGAGCCATTGGATCGATGCAACAGTGTTGCATCGACACAACAAAAATGTCAAAACTGGAAATTCTGTTCATCAATCATCATCATAATATGATGTTCTCTAACGCATTACAAAGCCTAAAATGGAGATGGCGGTACATGTAGCACGATGCCTACACTGCACGATCATCATAATATGATGTTCTCTAACGCATTGCAAAGCCTAAAATGGAGATGACGGTACATGTAGCACGATTGCGGAATGGTAGATGGACAAGGAAGATCTTGGAATTGAGGCTAAGGAGTGATAAACACAGTCAAGGCAGACCTCCCACCCCTGGTCATATGACATCAAGAGAATCTCGACAAATTGGATTTCAACAGCACAAGATAGAAATAAATAGAAAAACCTTGATCAGGCCTATGTCCAACTGTAGACGCAGACAGAGACTATATAATTATAAATCACAATCCTTGGTCAAATCCTTGGTATCTTTGTTTTATACGTCTATTCTAAGCGGACAAGCAGCTTAATTTTATGGTCTAAGTTGTTCTGAGAAAAGTGACGCTGTATAAAAATAATTCGTGAATGATGTACAAAGAACGAATGGATCTAATTTTTTAATTTTCAATATGTAGTTTAATTTGACGAATGTTGCTTATGCCAACCTGGTTCGCATTTCAATTTTTTCTGGATGTTCAATCATTCTATTATTTTCTAGGTATATTTCTTAGCCCTTGATTGATAAGCTATCATAAAAATTAGGAAAGACTTATTTGGTAAAATCAGTTATATTATATTTTGTTAGTTTTTTAATATTTCTGGAATAAATTAAAATATTATGTTTATTACATCAATTAGTTTTATAACCAGACACCAAATGCATAAATGTGAATAAATTCCTGATACTAACAATTTAATATACTTTTTTATTAATACTATTTAAATTTAATCAAATAAATGTAAAAAAACATACCTTTTCCCCACTTTTATCGTGCGTACTTTGTAGTTGTTCATTGTAGTTGGAATCCAACCTCAGGGAAGGCAAAGTTGGTGTAAATAACTTGGAACTTGGCTTCTTTCTAGCCCTATCTGGTCTTTGTTCATGAGAATGGTCATCACTAAATATAGGAGTACCATCTTCCCTATTCGCATGTACATCGGATGATAAATCTACTTTATCAGTCTTGAACCCTTGCTTTTGAATTTCTTCTGAAGTAGGAAACTCACCAGGTTTTGGTCTCACCGATATATGAATATTTGCCGTGGATTTGGCTGCCAAGCAGGTATATAAGCCACTGTCTCGCAAAGTAAGGTTAGAAACTCTTAAAGCTCCTTTCTTTGACGTTTTATACTTTTTATTTTTTGGAAGAAAGTTTTTATCCTTCATCCACTCTATTTTTGTTCTATCAAATCTTTTTACGGGGCATTTAATTTTTATAGTAGTACCTAAAAAAACTGTAGCTGCGCCACCAACTTTTAAAGAAATCTTCTTTTTCTTAGGATCGTGTTGAATAAATGTACTGTTTGATACATCGATGTGCGGCTTGTCACTCTCTACAATACAACTTTTTGTATTACAAGGCTTAGATTCTGCAGGCTTGGGAACTGGGCACATGGAAGGTATTCGATCAACTGTATGATTTTGTGCCATTACTTGTTTACATTCAACTTTTCGAATTTTACTTCCACCACCACAACTTTTTGAGCACCTTGACCATTCGCCAACCTTCCACCGAACCGGACAATCCAAGACATTACAATATTGTCTGTCAGGCGGAGGTGGTTGGGGACACATATTATTCGGCACTATAAGTGTATTACCCCCACCTTGGGTCACTTCATGTATACAATTTACTTCTCTAGTTTGAATACCAATACCACAGCTTTGAGAACATGGTGAAAATTCTGAATAGTTCCATCTAGGGGGACAAGGATGGTCATTACATGTTTGTACTCTAATTTCTGGTTTTAATTCTATAGGACACATATACGGAGATGTTACTTTTTGTGTGTCATCTCTAACACAGTTTACTATAAGTTCTTGTATTCCGCCCAGACATGTTGCGCTGCAATGTGTAAAACCTTGTTCCTTCCAAGAATACGACTTAGCTGAAAAGTAAATAAATATATAAAGTAATGATTTTGTATATTAAATTAACTGTAATAGTTTTAAAAGAAGTAGCTTATTATATTATAGAAGTAGATATTAAAAAATATCTATATGATAAATCGACCGTAACTTTATGTCGTCTTTACACTATGACAAACGTCACCATTATATACTTTATTAAGGTGATGGGAAATTAAAATGAACTCTATAGCATCTTCTTGATTATAATACATATATATATATATATATATATATATATATATATATATATATATATATAGTGATTTAATGTTGGCATAGAAGTATCGCAGGAGTTGTTCTTTTGATCCAGTACCAATATGCCATAAAAGAAAAACCTTTAATCAGTGTGTTTTGCCAGTGTTGGTGCGGAAACGTTGACCATGACAAGGAGAACAGTTCAAAAGATCCTTGTGTGTCAAAGGGAGATGGAGCGTGCTATGTTGGGCGTTTCATTACGAGACAAGATCCCAAATCGCCAGCTACGACAAAGAACAGGAGTGGTTGATGCAGTAGAGAGAGTAGCAACACTGAAATGGAACTGGGCAGGTCACGTGGCTCGAATGACAGATAATAGATGGACTTAGCGGATACTGGAATGGAGACCAAGAGATGATGCCTACCGAAGTAGAGGTCGTCCACCAACACGTTGGACTGACGATCTAAAATGGTGTTATAGGAATTAGATGCAAGAGACACAAGATCGAAATAGATATAAAATTATGAGGGAAATCTATGTCCAGCAGTGGATAAGCGAAGATTGAATGATGATGATGACCTGACCTGCCTCTCGCTACTAAATCAATGTATACTCATAGAACTGGAAAAATAAACTGAAAATATAAAAGGAACATCATATGAATCAGCTAAGCTAGCCAAAAAGTTATAGATTGGAATAAGTGTCAGGAAACACATTCTTTTATTAAGAAACAACAAAGGACAGTACAGACGATATATCGACAATCAACAAAAAATTGAAACAAAAAGTAGTAAAAATATCTAGAGTAGCTAGAGCAGAGGTTAATTTAAAGATCATCAATAACAGGTCAACAAATGCATTAAATGCTGCACAGCCAAGAGAGCAAGCTGGCTTTAGAAGTAGATTCAGTACCATGGATCATATCCACATGCTTTAAAATCTAATGAGTAGAACTAAAAAATATACAATACTTGATAACAATCGATGAAGACATGAGAAATATGGGATAACGTGCTTGGCGGAGAAAGGCGATGGATAGAGACGACTGGAGAGAAATTCTTGAGGAGGCTAGACCCACGTAGAATGATGATGATCATGAGTACCGTCGGTGTTAAATAGCTTTATAAGTTCAGCATATGCATTATCAGGTCCAGGAGCTTTGCCATCTTTTAGTTGTGATATTGCTTTTTTCCCCTTTATCTGATGTGATTGGTAAGTAATCATTACATATGTAGAATGGAGGTTGTTCGGACCTATTATCACCAAAGAGTTCTTTGTATGTATGTGGTCCATATGCATATTTCTTGATTTTTATCTGTAATGATGCCCTCCTGTTGATCTTGCGGTTTGCTAGCTGTGTTGAATTTTGAAGATCAGCTGCTTGTTTTACCTTTTTATGTATAATAATTGTATTTTATGTACATAATGTTATGTATAATAATGTCTTCTGTTCCAACAACTATATTTATTTACACTGTGTTTTTAGCCAATTTTGTTTGGCCTTTATTATTTAGGTTCTTATTTATTTCTGAATATTTTTGTACATTCTTTTGTTATTCTTTGATTTTTTTAGATGTTCTTTTCTGATCTTGTAGAAGATTTCACATATATTCTGAAGTGATTCTTCTGGATCATTTATTTCAATACTAGGCGATATTTTGCGACATTGTGTTAAGATAATATATTGTGATTTAGATTCATTCACATTTATACGCTATCTATTAGTCCACTTTTCAATTTCCCCAATATGTCTTTGAAGAGATTTGGTAACTGTTACAGGATTATTATCTGTGACTAACATAGCAGTGCCGTCTAAGAATCATGTGGCCGTTACATTTACATTTGTTGCTACCTCGTGCGGTAATATCAAATATAATGTAGGACACAGAATACTACCTTGAGGGACTCCAGATCTTTTATGGTAAATTTTTGATGTTTCTCATTCATACTTAACATGGTAGTATCTTCTTTCTAAATATGATTTTAGTTAAGTAAACATTGACTCCAGAATGTATATTTTTATTTAAAGAGCAACACTTTATGTTAGACTTAATTAAATACCTGACTGACGTCAAGAAAGAGTGTAGAGCAGTATTTTTTTTCTCAAAAGTTTTATTCATTGTATCAACGACTCTACGTACTTGTTTTGTTGTTGAATTCTTGTCTCTAAAACCAAACTAATGATCCGGGAAAAGAATATTATCAGTTATTATCTTTATAAGTCTTGTCGCTATTAGCTTCTCAAATAGTTTAGCAATTATCGGAAGAGACTACAGAACGAGATAAATAGATCGAGAGATATGTTCAAGAGGCGGTTTACCAGGTTTATGGATCATTATTATATCAACAGTTTTTTACAGATTTGATACAATTTTGATCCTTAGTGAGCCATTGAAAAGTTGTATCATTATAACTATTTTTTTTATCTGGTAACTCTTTTAAGATAGTTCCTGTTATAAGGATATTTCCTGAAGCTTTTTGGTTTATATTCTAGGTATATTTAATAGCACTTTTTACTTTTTTCTGACACTGGTTTAGTTTGCTCACCTGGCTATTGGTAGACTTTCGTAAATAGCTTTATCTTCTTCAGGACTGACAGAGGGTAGAGGTTGAAAAACTTCTTTAAGATATTTTTCAAATGTTTCTGCTTTTCCTTGATTTGTTCCCGCCCATGAGCCTTCTGGGGTTCTTAATGCTGGGATGTGTTTACTTGTTTTTTTTAATTTCCTGCTAAAATTCCAAAGTAAATAATTGATATTTGCTGTTGGTCTTAAAATTAGAAGGTAATTTTTAACGAAAGAGATTTTTTGTGTTTTGTATATCTTCCTTAGTCCCCTTTTCTCGTTAACTTGGTTTGAAATATTGATGGGACAGTCTCTGTTATTCTGTATAGCTTTACATTTAGGAGTGGCATTCCAGACAGTTTCTTGAGGAGAAGTGTAGTAAATTTGTTTACTGCCATTTCAAGTTCATCTTTTGTTTTCAGGAAAATATTGAGGTTTATTTTTTATGTATTTCTTCCCTAAACAGATTCCAGTCGGTCTTGTGTTTGTGCAGTTTCGCTGGACGTTCCTTTTTAATAAATCTTGAATTTAGCGTCGCTGTTACTGGGTTTGGTCTAAAGCAATTTCAGCATTAGATACAATATTTAGGTAGCCTTCTCCAAAGCCGTTGCTTACAAAGAAATCAAGATAGTCAGGAAGATATCCACTGCGGTTAGTGGGTCAGTAAGTAGGTGTGCAACTAGATAAGGGTTTTCTACATAAGCTGTAGTTACTACATCTTTTAAAAAAGGATTCTAGCTCTACCTGGTACAGATAGTCGACAGCCTGAACTTAGATTTTGCATTATAGTTAGTACCGGCAAGAAACGGGGCAATTATAAGGTAAATTTATCTAAATATTTTAGGTCAAATCCTCTTATTTTACAAATTTGTACTAATACAATAAATCAATAAATAAGAAACATGCAAAAGGTTTATTGGAGAAAAAAACTTTACCTGGAGATCCTGGAACGACTTTTATATCGGCTCTACTGTAAGGATCATCCTTAACATCCATTCCAATTTTTTCGGAAACGCAGGGCTCCATATAACAAGGCTCTGACTCTGTAGGTTTGGGTCCAGTACACTGTTTATCTGGAAGTTTTGCTATAGTTCTGGAAAATTCCAAAAATATTTTACAATGTACTTCCCTCTTTCGTATGCCTTCTCCGCATGTTACACTGCAAGGTCCCCATTCGTCGGGAATAAATCTGAAAAGTTTGCATTTAAAGTAAGATGTAAATGTAATGTGTAAATACAAAGAAATAAGGTACGAGTCACAATGCAGAAATTACATGCCTAATAGCACAAAATTCAGATTTTGGCTCTAAACTATTTTTCAGATTTTGATAATTATATTTGGAATATTAAATTTGTTTTGAAAGGTATATTTTAAATTTGATTTTTGTTTTAATATCAATAATAACTTGTTTTAAGAGTTTATGAAAATTACATTTTACGTTTGTTTTGCGTTTTCCACTCTGGAAATCGTTTCAAAAACAAATTATTTTGAAATAAGGAGTTGTCATAACCTATATTTGTTAATAAATTGAACGTTTAAAAACAAACGCAAAATTGAATTTTTATCTCAATCGATTTACTCCAACCTTCAGAGAGAAAATGCCACTGAACCTTTAAGTCGGTAACTGTGTTGTGGGGTAAAAATCACCCACGTCGTTCATTGGCGCTTGTTAAAATAGTAGCAACATTGCCAGATTCATCTGGCGAAGCGAGTACCTTCCCACAATATAACAGATTTTGTATTGCATCATAAATTTCAGTATATAAATAAGATTTGAATGAGTGGTGTCGCGTTCTTTGGACTTGTGGGTGATTTTAACCCCACCATACAGTTGAAGTACAGTATTATTTAGTTTTTGGGTAATATTGGGTAACCACACAACACCGGTTAATTATTAACAAGTAAATTCTTATACTAGCACAATTCATCTTGACTTTCTTAACAAAAACATAATTTGGTAAATTGGTAGGAATATTGAAAATTGATTAGATATTCTTAATTTCAGACATACAGAAATATGTGTAGTTGAGAGAACGAACAAGAAGCTCTTTTGAAACTTTGGTAGGATGAATTAACTGGATCAAAGTTAGGATCAGAAAGCGAATCTGAAAATTAAAGTCAGCAGGTTAGCCTTCGTCCCAGTGAGGATGTTTTAGAAAACCAACTTTATTCAGTGGAAAATTGTCAGCCTGGAAGTTCTAATCAGAAAAATCAATCATCGTCGGAAGAATCTTTTTGAGGCAACAATAAGTTTAAAGATAATAAAGTAAGACAATCTAAGTTTTTTATCGGACGGGATGGCAAAACAAAATGGGCAAAGAACTGTCCTAATAAATCGGTTAGAACACGACAAGAACATTTAATAATTTTACTTCCCGGTGTTCGAAATAATGCAAAACATTGCAAGTCGCCCAGTTCTCGCTGAGAATTATTCATGGATAATATTATTGTAAAAGATATTGTCCAATGCACTAATAAAAAACTCAGTTTAGTCGCTCAAAGTTATAATGACCAACATAAATATGTCACCAAATCTAAGCAGAAGGAATTCGTGCAGTTTTAGGATTATTATATCTATCAGGCGTTTATAAAGCCAATAGGTTAAATCTGGAGGATCTTTGAGCTACAGATGGAAGAGGAATTGACATTTTCAGGCTAACAATGTCCCTGCAAAGATTTATATTACTTTTAAAGTACCTACGATTCGATAATATGGAAAATAGAGAAGAACGAAAAAGAGTAGATAAACTGGCAGCTACACGAGCTATTTTTGACCGATTTGTATCCATGTTGTTCCTTTTGACAATATATCCCTAAATAAGCCGTCCAAATATGGCATTAAAATATTAACCGCAACATTACATTCGACAACTGGTTTACCAGCATACCATACATTGCCTATGGGAACATGAAAAACCAGTAGAATCCAGGACTACTGGAATACCGATACTCTTTTTCAATTGAAATGTTTTCATAATAATATAGGCCAACATCGTTACTTGCTTATTTTAAGATGTCTACATTTTGCCAGTAATCCAGAAGAGGGTATAATAAAAGAAAAACTCTATAAAATTATATTCAATAATATAATGGCGGACATATATCAACCATAAAAAAATCTATCCCTTGATGAAAGTATGGTATTGTGGCGTGGTAGATTATCTTTTCGAATATAAGATGAAAAGCAAATAAGGACTTAAATTGTATGTGTTGGCAGAACCCAACTACTTAGCGTTTTGTATGAAATTATATATACAGGCCATTATGACGCTGCAGGTGGAAAAGCCCACTCTGAAAAAGTAGTTTTAGAACTAATGCGAGATAAACTTAACGTTGGGCATTCTCTTTATGTAGATAATTTTTATGAAAGTGCTGATTTAGCAAAAACGCTTTTACAAAACAATACCTTCTCCACAGGAACTTTAATTTCCAAGAGAAAAGGTAACCCTAAGTAAGTTTTAGAAGCTAAACTAACACAAGAACAGACAGTAGGGCAATATAAAGATGGCATTTTATCCACGGAATTTGAAAATGATCTTATCGAAACTGAAAACAAATGAAACCAAATAAAAATAAAACCCCTAGCGATATCCAAATATAATGGGGTTTATGAGTGGTGTTGATTGCAAAGATCAATTGCTCGCTTACTATCCATGTGAGCCAAAGACGCTCAGATAGTATAAAAAAATAGGTATTCACATATCTCAATTTTTGTTATTAAATACTTATTATTTGTACAAAAGTTATTCTCTATACACTGGTGGAAAAATGAATTTATATGAATATCGTTTAGAAATCGTCAGATATCTTTTAAAACATTCTGAAATAGTATTGGTTACTCCAGCATACAAACAACAACAAACAAAACATACAAGAACAACATTTCAAAAATTTGAAATGTTGATAGTAAAGGTCGGATAAAGAGAAAAATATGTAAGGTATGTTCAAAGAATAATTTAAGAAAAGACATACAAATATTTGAGTTCTGAAAAACCTGTCCTTTGTGTTGGAAATTGTCTTGTACAGTTTCATAATGATAAGATTCCAAGATAAGATAAATTCCAAGAAATCAGATAGCGAGCTAGGTATAAATAGGTAAATAAAACGGCTTTAGCAATTCAATCTTTCTATCTCTGCACATGATTGTGATAGCTACAATTCCTTAGCTTTGTAATGACACTGTCATAACAAGGTAGAAAAATTATTTTTTGTAAAACTTTCAATATTTTTTTTTTAATTCAAAACAAAAGGACTATAATAAAAATATGCAAATCAGGCTAGCTTGAATACAGTGATTAAAAGAATTGAAATTCACTACGGGGCGGGGTGTCAATATGTTAATATTGTTAGTTAATATTGTTAGTTAATATTGTTTAGTTAATACTGTCAGTATTGTTAATACACAAGTCTTAAGATATACTGTTTTTTCTTTTATAAGAAAAAATACTTTTAGCTGTAAATAATTAGTCTTATTTTATGTGATTTAATCCAATCTAATAAATAGATGATTAAACGACATCGCACACATTTTATGGAAAATATAATGTCACACAAAGGATATAAAACTTACATGAATGTATTGGTTTCATAAATCTTTGTTTATTGTCTCGGCCGTTAATGGATTACGTAGACACGCTGTATATTAAAATTAAACACCACAGATATAGATATTAAAATAACAAATATCTTACTTTTTTCGCGCCTTTCATTGCTTGTTATCGAAACCATTACAATGTTCCGTGCAAAAGTGTTGTAACTCTGTTACATTAGAACTACAACAGTTTTGCACGGAACTTATGTACAAAAATGTATGTATGTTATGTTATGTAAACTGTTGTTGTTGTATTATTATTATTATTAATATTCCATGATTACTTCATTTCATAAAATTTTTAGTTACTGCAGTCTTGCACTGAGGATGCGATATTATTATTGTAATATGTTATCTATTAAAATTTCCAGTAAATGTTTCTTTGGACAATAATGACTTTCTGCAATTTAAACATCAAAGACGCACATGTCTCTGAGCATATTGATGAAACATTAATGATCTAGTGCTGACGACGCCTATGAGCGTCACGCGTTAAAAAAGACAAAATTTAGCAAAAACTTTATAAATGTACTCTGCTAACAAGCAACCAATCACAGTTATAACGATTTCTACACAAAAAATAATCTCAGCACCTATCAATAGCATATCGTTAGACTTTAAGCATGCGACGTGTTTATAGTCTACAGTCCATCCAGTCGAACAAAAACAATAGGCTGTAACTTCTTGGTTTTTTAATGTTGTGGAAAAAAGGCGTTTTCTTTGAGACGTTGTGAAAAGTATCATTTTGGAAATAATGATAATAAATATACAGAGTGGCCCAAAAGTCTGGAAACGGCCAATTATCTCGTAAATTGCTAATTATAATTGTACAAAATTTAAGGTAAACCTATTTTGCGATATGGAGATACCATATTTAATATTTGCAATGTTGCCAGATTTGCCGTTCTCTTATATTATAGTAACTTTGGTTTTCAAATACATCACCCTGTATATTCAGTCATTATTGGAATCTTCTATTCAATACGAGTTTAACCATATGTACCACTTCTCAATAATTTTTTTAGTACTAACTATTTTTAGTTACATTAAAATGTAACAATTGATAGATTACAACATTATGTAACATAATGGTTACTTTGTCAAGTGTTCAAAATGTGCTCCATGTGAGTTAACAGTACCCTAATCGATGATAGAAAGCATCTACCACATTTTTCCCATGATTGTCTAGGAATTATTCGAGATTCATCGGTATTTCGTTGTCTTAGTTCTGCAAGACTTGCTGGTTTAGTGTTTGTAAACTGAATATTTTCAAGTATCCCTAATAAAATATAATTCTTTAGGATTAAAATCAGGTGAACGTGGACGCCATTTAATTCTACCTTGTCTAGAAATCCATCGTCCGGGAAATACTTCTTCTAAATAACGCCGAACATTTACACCAAATTTTGTAAAATTATAACAAGCAATTTACAATTTACAAATTACGAATTTACTAGATAGATACCGATCAGTTAGACCGAAAAGAGTTATGAATGACAACAAAACTAGATATAATGCATAGTTTTGTTGAAGATCCACATACAATCCTCCCGCAGGGTTGCACAGTACATGATGTAGGTCGTTCTTCAGTCTTACTT